GTGGAAGCGGGGGGGGTGATAAAAAAAGGAAAAAATAAAATAGAGAGAGATACGGAGGAAATTAGAGGAGAGAGAGAGAGAGAGAGGAGAGGAGAGAGAGAAGGAAGAGAGAGAGAGAGAGAGAGAGAGAGAGAGAGAGAGAGAGAGAGGAGAGAGAGAGAGAGAGCGAGAGAGAGAGGAGAGAGAGGAGAGGGAGAGAGAGCGAGAGAGGAGAAGAGAGAAGAGAGGAAGAGAGAGAGAAGAGAGAAGAGAGAGAAGAGAAGAGAGAGAGAGAGAGAAGAGAAGAGAGAGAGAAGAGAGAGAGGAGAGAGAAGAGAGATGAAAGAGAGAGAGAGAGCGAGAGAGCGAGAGAGAGAGAGAGAGAGAGAGCGGAGAAGAGCGAGAAGAAGAGAGAGAGAGAGAGAGAGAGAGAAGAAAAGAGAAGAGAGAGAGAGCCGGAGGAGAGCGAGAAGGAAAGCCGAGAGAGAGAGAGAGAGAGAGAGAGCGAGAATAGAGAAAAGAGAGAGAGAGAGAGAGACAATACAGACCAGATAACAAAACGTCCGAAACACAACTGGTAAACTCGACTGGTAAAGTAAAAAGAGAAGAGGGGAAAGCAGATATCTGAGGACAGTCACCCCCTCCCAAGCCGCCCCTGCCCCCCTCTCCCCTCTTCCCCCCCCCTCTCCTCAACTGACACGTAATTAGCGTTAGAGTTGGTTCTACTGACAACGCTGAATCGCATTTACCTTTGCTTGTAAACACTTATGGAAGTGGGGAGGGAGGGGGAGAGGGGAAGGGAGGGGGAGAGGGAGGGAGGGGAAGGGGGAGGAGGGGAGGTGGAGGGGAGGGGAGGGGGAGAGGGGAGGGAGGGGAGAGCGGAGGAGGGAGAGGAAAGATGGGAGGAGGAAAAGTGAGAGGAGGGGGAGGGGAGGGAGAGGGAGAGTGAGGGAGAGGAAAAACGAAAGAGAGAGATGGAGGGAAAAGTGAGAGGAGGGGAAGAGAGGGAGGAGGGGAAGAGTGAATGGGTAGAGTGACAGGAAGGGAAAGACGAGGGAGGAAGGGGAGAGTGAATGGGAAAGAGTGAGAGGAAGGGGAAGAGGGAAGAAGGGAAAATGTGAGAGGGAGGAGGGAAAGGGAGAGAGTGGAGGAATGAGGAGGAAGGGGGAGGAAGGGAAAGGTGCAAACGGGGGAGGAGGAGGGAAGGAGGAGAGAGAGATGGAAGGAGTGAGAAGGGAAAATGAGAGGAGTGTGAAGAAAGGGGAGAGGTAGAGGAATGAGGGAAGAGCAGGAAGGAGGGAAAAGGGAGTGAAAGTGGTGGGGAAGGTGGGGGAGGGCGAAAAAGGGCGAGAGATAGAGGGAGAGAGATAAGGGACTGAGAAGGAAAAGTGAAGAGAAAAGGGAAGAGGAAGGTATGAAGGACTGTGAGAGGGAGGGTAAGGGTGTGAGGAGGAAAAGTGAAAGGGAAGGGGAGGAAGGGAAAGCCGAAAAGAAGGGGAAGAAGAAAGGAGGGAAAAGAAAGGAAGGAACTGATAGGGAAAAATGTAAAGAGAAGTAAGTTATGAATAAAAGAAAAGACGAAGTAAGAACAGAAAACAAGAAAAAGCCAAAGAAGACGCAAAAAAGAGAAAGAAAATAGGGGGAGAAAACAAGATAAGAGCAAGAGGGAGGAGAAAAAAGGGGAAGGAGGAGGGGGAAAGAGGGAGAAGAGGAGGGGGGAAAGTACTGCAGTGTTGCATCTGTCACTCGAATCCTTTCAAAGTGCTGCGTGTACACTATCTTGTGTACACTCACGCACTTCCGAATGTATACAGACGGCTGCCTCGGTTGAGTCATATGCGGCATTTATCTATCTATTAATCTATCTATTTCTCTATCTATTTCTCTATCTATGTGGGGTTGTTCATTTACTTATTTAATATTTTTTCTTTCATTCTATTTTCCATATTCATTTAAGGGTTTTAAGAGCACACACTTATTTAGGCTTATTTTAGATACTGTACTTGGCTAAATTCACAGGTGCAGATGCAGACACGCATACATACATCGATATACAAATACACACAAACAAAATAATACACAAACATACACACACGCACGCACTCTCAAGCACACGGGCTAATGAATACACAAACAAACAGCAGGGAAGAACAAGAAAACACACAAATATGTTCTTCCCTGCGTTGTTTTGTTTGCAATCTTTTCGACATGAATTCCACACACAAACACACACACAAACGCAACTTTTATCATACGAATGATTACTGATATTCATCTTTATCTATTTATCTGATATTCATCTTTATCTATTTATCTGATATTCATACTTTATCTATTTATCTGATATTCATACTTTTCTATTTACTGATATTCATCTTTATTCTATTTTATCTGATATTCCATACTTTTCTATTTATCTGATATTCATGACTTTATCTACTTATGCTGATATTCATACTTTATCTATTATCTGATATTCCTCTTTTACTATTTATCTGATATTCATACTTTATCTATTTAATCTGATATTCCATACTTTATCATATTTAATCTGATATTCCTCTTTATCTATTTTATCTGATATTCATACTTATCTATTATCTGATATTCATACTTTATCATTATCTGATATCATCTTTATCTATTTATCTGATATTCATCTTTATCTTATTTATCTGATATTCATTACTTATCTTTATCTGATATTCATCTTTATCTATTACTGATTTTCATCTTTATCTATTTATCTGATATCATACTTTATCTATTATCTTATATTCATGCTTTATCTATTATCTGATATTCATCTTCATCTATTATCTGATATTGCATCTTTATCTATCTATTTGATATTCATCTTTAATCTATCTTATCTGATATTCTTCTTTATTCTAATTTTATCTGATAATTCATCTTTAATCTATTTATCTGATATTCAATATATATCTATTTAATCTGAATATTCACTCTTTATCTATCTCTGATAATTCTTTCTTTATCTATTATCTGATTTCTACTTTACTATTTATCTGAATTATATATATCTATTTATCTGATTATTCATCTTATCTATCTATTTGAATATTCATCTTTATCTATTCTATTGATATTTCTTCTTTAATCTATTATCTGATATTCATCTTTATCTATTTTATCTGATATTCAATCTTTATCTATTTATCTGATATTCAGCTTTAATCTATTTATCTGAATATTCCATCTATTATCTAATATCTGATATTCATCCTTTATCTATTTATCTGAATATTCATCTTATTATTTATTCTGATATTCATCTTTATCTATTTATCTGATATTCATCTTTATCCTAACTTATCAGATTCCTCTTAATTATTTACCTGAATATTCATCTTTAATCCTATTTTTCTGAATTTCATCTCTTTATCTATCTATAATTTGTCTAATCTGATAATTCATCTTTAATCTAATTATCAAGATATTCATCTTTATCTATTTACCTGAATATTCATCTTTAATCTATTTTATCTGATATCATCTTACTATTTTTTCTGATATTCATGCTTTATCTTTTATCTGATATCCATCTTTATCTATTTTTCTGATATCATCTTTATCTATTTATCTGATACCATTCTTTATCTATTTTTTTCTGATAATTCATCTTTAATCTATTATATCTGATATTTCATCTTTATGCTATTTACCTGATATTCATCTTTATTATTTTTCTGATTACATCTTAATGCTTATTTACATGGTATTCAATCTTTAATCTATTATCTGATATTCAATTTTTAATCTATTTACTGAATATTCATCTTTAATCTACCTTATCAAGATTATTCAATCTTTATCCATTTACTGATATTCATTTTATCTATTTTAATGCTGATATTCATCTTATCTATTTTATCTGATATTCATCTTTTATTCTATTTTTTCTGAATATTTCATCCTTTATTCTATTTATTGAATATCCATCTTTATTCCTCATTTATCTATTTATATCTGATATTCATCTTTATCTACTTTTTATTATCAGTATTCATCTTTATCTAGATTTAATCTGATATCATCTTTACTATTTATCTGATATTCATCTTTATCTATTTTATCTGATATTCATCTTTATTCTATTTATCTGATATCATATCTTTTATTATTTATCTATATTCATACTTTAATCTTATTTATCTGATATTCCATTTTAGTGTAATTATCTGATTCATCTTTATCTATTTATCTGATATTCATCTTTAATCCTATTTATCTGATATTCATCTTTATCTATTTATCTGATATTCATCTTTAAAAATCTATACTTTATATCCATACTTTTATCTATTTATCTGATAATTCATCTTTATATAAACATGCTATCATCTGATATTCATCTTTATATGGTATTTACCTGAATATGCATCTTTTATCTATTTATCTAAATATTCATGCTTATTTAATGTGGTTGGTTATCTTTCGCTATTTAGACTATTCATTATCTATCGTATTTTTGTCAGTTTTCTAAGCAACATCAAAATTTCACGTAACAACAGCAATAGAAAATTAATTGTTACCAGCATGTTATTTGCAACATATTACGAACATATCATCAGCAACAGCATAGCACCAACATACACCCAATGAATACTTAACAACATACCACCATCATCCAATATATATTATGCATCCTTCCAACATATTAACAATAATAATGCTTACAATATCTTACTGCCAACATATTTATAAGAATACCAACATAGGACCAACATATTACTCAACATATAACCAGTATACTATTAGTATACAACCACCAACAATACCAATAACAACATGTGCCACCCCATACTATATCAGTACATCGCCTGCATGCTACTACCAACATATTACCGCCAATATGCTAGAACTAACATACTGCCAACATATCACCAGCATTAATTACAGACCACTTAGTAATACGAACATACCATCAAACTGGCTACCAGAATACCAACGTAATGCCGCTAACATAGCAAAATATCACCATACCTCCAATATACCAGCATACTTCCAACATACCACCTACATACCATCGACATACTACCACCAATTTGCCTCCAACTTACCACCAACATACTACCACCATACCACCAACATACCGCCAACATCAAAATGCAACCACCATGCCACCAACATACTGCCGCAAAATTATCATGATGTTGCTGCCAATATACTATCATCACAACATACCTCCAACATACCCCAACACACTGCCGCCAACATACCACCAACATACTACCATAACATACCCAAACATACCACCAACATACTACCCCAAGATACTGCCGCCAACATACTACCACAACATACCCCAACATACAACAACTCATCGCAACATAGCCCCAATCATTAACCACCAAATATACTATTCCAAGATACTGCCGCCAACACACCACAACATATCTACCACAACATCCCTGCAACATAGTACCTTTCCAATATACTGGCCGCCAACATACTACCGTCCAACATAGTACGCACAACATACTACGCCAACAATACCACCAATATACTACCCCAACATACCACCAACATACTACCGCCAACATTCACCACCAATACTACCCGCACAATACCATCACATACCCACCAACATACTACCCCAAACATACCACCAACAATACACCACATATCACCAACATACTATCCCGACAATAATCACCACCAACATACTACCCAACAGATGCTACACCAACATACTATCTACATACTACTACCTCAACATAGTACCGAGCAAATATTACCCAACATACCACCTCTCACATTCACTACCTCAACATACCACCCCCAACATACTCTACCCCAACATACCACCACATACTACCACAACATACCCTCCAACATGACTACCCAACATGACTACCATGCCAACACGACTACCCAACATACTACCCCAACATTAGTTACCACAACAATACTACCCCATACATACTACCGCCCAACATAACCACCGCCATACATTACCACCGCCAAACAATACTACCTAACATACCACCAACACATACTAACCCAACATAACCTTCCAACATACTACCGACGCCAACAATGCTACCACCAACATATTACCACATACTACCCACATAGTACCACAACATACTACCGCCCACATACCACCAACATACTACCCCACACATACCACCCCAACATAGTACCGACAAATACTACCCAACAGTACACCACACTACCGCCCACATACCACCGAACGTACTACATCAATCATACTATCCCAACATACTACCCCAGCATACGACCACATACACCGTCAAACATACTAACACATCCACCCACATACCACCACATCCTACCCCAACATACTACCAACATACCACCAACATACGCACCCCAACATACTTACCCCAACATACCACCCAACATACCTACCCCAACATACCACCCAATCATACTCCCAACATAGTACCACATACATACTACCCCACATTACTACCACACATACCAACAAACATACTACCCCAACATACCAGCAACGTACTAACCCAACATACCACCAACATACTACCCCAACATACCACACCAAATCAACTAACCCATATAAACGCACCACCATACTACCCCCAAATATACCGAACATACTACCCACAATACACCACATACTACCACCGGCCAACTGCTACCGCGCCACGAGTGCTACCAATAACATAACTACCACATACTACCCCAAAATACTAGCCACACACATGCTACCCCAACATACCACTCGAACATAGTACCCCAACATACCACTGCAACATACCTACCAACGTACTACAACATACGCACCCCAACATACTACCACAACATGCTACCCCAACATACACCACCGAATCATACCTACCCAAACATACTACGCAACAACCGCCCCAACATACTACCCCACCAACCGCACATACCACCAACATACTAACCCTAACATACCACCGAACCAACATACACCCCAACATACCACCAACATACTACCCCCAACATACCACCAACATACTACCCCAACATACCACCAACATACTACCCCACATACCACCAACATAGTACTCCCAACCATACCGACCAAACATACTACCCCAACATAACCACCAACATACCTACCCCCAACATACGCACCCCAACATACTAGCCCCAACATCCACCAACCTACTACCCCAACATATTACCGCAAACATAACCACAACACACTACCCCAACTACGCACCAACATACTACGCTAAATACCACCGCGCAACATACCACCCAACATACCAACCCAACCTACCACCCCAACATACCCTCAACATACCACCACAACATGACACCAGCCCCAACATACTACCCCAACATACATCCCTGCCATGTTCCAATGCCTTGCGGCTCCACTCAGCTTTTTTTCACTTTCGAGTTTTAACTTTTAATCTCTTTTATTCAATTTTCCGCTTTGTTTGCCTTTGTTTTTACTTGATTGTTTGTTACTTTTTATTCTTTTTTTCTAATTCCCTCGTCGATCCGGCTGTTTTTTTTATGTATATTTTTAAACGCATTCGCATAATCCGTTTACTATATTTTTTAACATCTTCTCTAAATATGACTCTCTTTCATTCAGTCTTTCTTCTCTCTCTCTCTCTCTCCTTTCTCTATTCTCTCAATCTCTCTCTTGCTCTTACCCTTTCTGTCTCTTACTTCTCAAACCTCTGTTTCTGCTCTGTATGTGTGTCGTCCTCTCGTCGCTCTCCATATCATGTCTCTCTCTCTGTCTCTCCTGTCTTTCTCTCTCTCTCTCTCGTACCTCAATCTCTCTTCGTCTCCTCCTCATCTCTCTCTCTCTCTCTCTCTCTCTCTTCTCTCATCTCTTCTCCTCTCTCTCTCTTCTGCATCTCTCTCTCTCTTCTGCTCTCCTTCGTCTTCTCATCGTCTCTCTCTCTCTCATTCTCTTCCTCTCCTCTCCTCTCCTCTCTCTCTCTCTTCCTCATCTCTTCTTCTCTTTTCACACTAATCGTTTCTTTCTGTCCCCATGCGCTTTAATAAGACAAGAGGAAAAAATAAAGACTCGAATGATAGTCCTTGCGTATTGTGGCGTCTACTTGGCTTGGGAAAGAGTCGGTAATTGGAAAGCTCACACTGAGAGGAGACGAGGAAGGTGAGAAAACGAAGATGCATGAGAGATAATACTTGCGGAATGTGCGCAGAAGAGAAAATAAAGCCCTACTCACAATGACACGCACCACACAGCACACACAATAACACACGCACACAACACTATTCTCTCTCTCGTCTCACACACCAGCCGCTGATTAACTCGCACATAGCACAACATCAACACACACAACACAATGCCCTTTTTTACATGCTAACACACAAACTAACACACACGACACACACCACACGGCTAACCTACACACTCACAACAACACAACAAACACGCACATACACACACACACGCTCACCGCACACACACACGCACACAACGCATCCAGCCCCCCCCCCCGCCCCACAACACCACACTATATATGTGTGTGCATGTGTGAGAGGAGGTGAGTGTAAATAAATAGATACGCATATTTGGTTCCGATTTCTACAAGAACGTATCATAATCTTCAGACACGATCATTAAACTTACCAAACCCATTTAAGGGAAGATAAAGAAATAATAAACCTCTTTCTATCATAATTCAGTAAATTTGCTATAATACTGACATAAGAAAGAAAGTGGAATAACAGCAAGTGNCCCCCAACATACCACCAACATAACTACCCTCCAACTATACCCACCAACACTACTACCTCCTTCCCCATCATACGGCACAAATATACTACTCCTTAACCATGCTACTATCCAACATACTACCCAACAATACCTCACCAACATACTACCCAACATTACCACCATCTATAAACTACCCTTCGTTTCTTAATTTTTCTTCGTGTACCGCCCAACATACCACCCGTCCCAACATACTACCCAGCTATCACGCAACATACTACCTTACCCCAACATACAACCCTGCCATGTTCCAATACGCCTTGCGGCTCCACTCAGCTTTTTTCACTTCGAGTTTTAACTTTAATCTCTTTTATTCAAATTTTCCGCTTTGTTTGCCTTTGTTTTTACTTGATTGTTTGTTACTTTTTATTCTTTTTTTCTAATTCTCTCGTCGATCCGGCTGTTTTTTATGTATATTTTAACGCATTCGCCATAAATCCGTTTACTATATATTTTTAAACATCTTTCTCTAAATATGACTCTCTTTCATTCAGTCTTTCTCTCTCTCTCTCTCTTCTTTCTCTATCTCTCAATCTCTCCTCTCATGTCTCTTACTTTCTCCTCTCTCTGTGTTGTCTGTCTGTTGCCTCTGTCTCTCTCTCTCTTCTCTTTCTCTCTCTCTCTCTCTTCTTTTCTCTCTCTTTCCTCCTCCATCTCTCTATCTCTCTCTCTCTCTCTCTCTCTCTCTCTCTCTCTCTCTCTCTCTCATTCTCTCTCTCTCTCTCTCTCTCTCTCTCTCTTCACTATCTTTCTTTCTGTCCCCATGCGCTTTATCAGAAAGAGGAAAAATCAAAGACTCGAAATGATATTCCTTGCGTATTGTGGCGTCTCCTTGGCTGGGAAAAGAGTCGGTAATTGGAAGCTCACACTGAGAGGGAGACGAGGGAGGTGAGAACGAAGATGCATGAGAGATAATACTTGCGAATGTGCGCAGAGAGAAATAAAGCCTTACTCACATATACACGCCCAGCATACACATACAACTTCTCTTTCTCAACAACACACATTACTCACACTCAAGCGCTACAAACCACATATTACGCACACACCAGTACACACAACACAACACATCTACCTCACAACAATTAACTCACACACACACACACACACACTCACGTCACCATCTCACACCACACGCTAACCTCTACCTCACCAACACCCCAAACACGCCTCGCGCACACACACACACTATATATAGTGTGTATAGTATTTGGTTTCGTAATCTTACGTGAATCTTCAGACACGATCATTAAACTTACCAAACCCATTTAAGGAAGATAAAGAAAAAAACAAACCTCTATCTATCATAGTTCAGTAAATTTGCGATAATACTGATAATAAGAAGAAAGTGGAATGACAGCAATGATAATAACAACGACAACTACATGACTAATCGCAACTAAAACAAAAAATAGTAACAACAATAACAATAACAACTAACACATATATAATAAGCCTTATTAGTAAACAATAACAATAACAACTAAAACAACATGTATATAAGTATAAAAACCTTATTAACAGTACCTGTTCCCCACTGTTGTTGTAGAGAATCAGTATTGTTTGTATATTTCGTCCACGTCAACAAACCTTCGGGGTGATTACTCTGTCGGTTAGCTGTGGGAAGGGAAGGACGGAGGGAAGGAGGGGGAAGGAGGGAAGAGAGAGGGAGTGGGTGGGAGGTGTGGGAGGCGGGAGGGAGTGAGGGAGGGAAGGAGTGAAGGAGAGAGGGAGTGAGGGAGGGAAGGA